CAGGGGAGTTAGTTTAATCCTTATTGTCTCTAAGCTTCTCGCTGGTGTCATACTCCGTCGATTGTCCGACGTAGACGGTGCACGTGTGAGAACCAGGCTGGTTTTAGACCTGGTCGAGGTTGTATCGACCACATTTTCACTCTTCGTCAAATTGTACAACACAGACACTCCTTTTGTAGACCCACCATTTCTATCTTCCTCGATCTGAAAGCGGTTTCGGCTCAGTTGACGGATCTGCTATGTGGCTCTGCTTCCACTAGCAGGGTGTGCTCGAGAATTTTATTTCAATTTACGACCGCTTTATACTACTAGCCAGAGTGGAGCATGAGATTGCGGCATCTATATACCCGAGTTCACTACCGAAAGTGGTGTTCGTTAGGGTTGTCCTCTCTCTCCTTTTCTAATTGGCTTTGTCAGAGATTTGATTATGGAAACAGCCCTCGTACGCTAATAGCTGCATCCATTTGATCCCAGGTGATGACTGTCTGAGCTGTAGTATGCGGATGACATTGTACTACTAAGCGAAGATCCAGGTAAGTTGAAAGCCTTTCTGGATAGTTGAATGTTAGTGTAGCCATGTTCAGTATTCGTTTTGCACTTTTAAAGTGTAAAATGTTGCTACAAGACTGGGTTGGTTTATCCCCTTTACTCACTTACTGGAGAGGTAATAGAGGAGGTTTCGTTATTTGGTTTGCGATATCTCATCCGGAGGACGCATGACGGATGTAGTGTCAGCTCGTATACAGAAGGCTCGGTTGGCATTCGCTAATTTGAGACATCTGTGGCGCTGTCGCGATATCCGGCTGCCCCTGAAGAGTCCAGTGGATGCTGCAGCAGTTCTGGTGTACGGCGCAAAGACAAACATCAAGTAAACGGTAAAAGGATAGACCGTTGGTGTTTGAACATCGCTGTCTACGCCGCATTGCGCGAGTGTGGTGGGGCAACCGGACAAGCAGTGCTGAGGTTAAGTGTCGAGTTTTAGGTAATCGTGGTCGTTCATTGAAGCAAGCTGGGCACCTTTACAGACTCCGGTGGTTGTGATGTTTGTCGAGGCAGGCAGCGGATGGTAAATGATCGACGGCGGTCAAACCAAGTCCTGACATGAAGGTATGACAAATTAATCAGGACACTGGGTCACATAGGTCCTGTTAGGCCCCCTAGATGAGGACCTCGAGATCATGGCCACCGGTGGTTAGTGACACTAAGTGATATGGCTGTCACAAGCAGCAGCGCTCGTGCATCTACTCATTATTCTTGAAATCGCAGTCTTTATGAATCCTCAATCTTCTTTTGAATTTGCTCTCAACATCCCAATCTTCATTCAGCTCTTTTATCTAAATGGATAGCCAAAATATGGCAACCAAAACCAGCTCATAGAGACGCATGGTTAATGGTCGTGAAAACTGAACCTGAACTAGTCTGCTTTTGATGCTTTACATGGTCGACGTTTGTTTGGCGACTATTTTCCTCATGGAGCGTAGGAAATTCCTGAAAAGTATGTGAGGCTATCTTGCACCTCAGGTTTCTCATCTGGTTCACTTTTTTCTTGTAGGTTTGAAGTTTTAGTATTGGGTAACAAACAAAACCGACCTCCAGTCCTTCACGGTTGGGTGATCGTTGAAGAACATTGAGAACAATGTCTGAAATGAAATTAATGTAATTGCACGAATGGGACTTTTAACTCCACTCACTCAGTTCATACACGTGGGCAGATTTCTATTGGAGATTCTTATTCACAAAGTTTGCAGTAAGGAGCTCTACCTACGCGAGAAAAATAGTTATGGTTACAAATTAATAGTAACCCACTAAACGCACGGTTTTGGCAAGAGCAAGTTGAATGGAAAACAACTGATACGATGTACAAGGATGAAACTTATATGCCAAGTGAATAAGCGTCGCGTTATTCCGACAGAGAACGATGTTTCAGGATATCACAATATTGAACTAAATCTTGCGAAAAACACGATTAAGCGTTTCAAACAGTGTCTGCTGAGGAAGCCTTACTCACTGCCTTCCCGTGGCGAAAGTGTTTTTCCACCAAGGCGAGAGGACGAGAAGCCAACATCCCGTACCGTAACCGGATCGGCGAATCATTGGCAGCTCACTTGGGGAAGTTGGCTATACCTCTGATTCCAAACCAATCAGGAAGAGCTGTACGAACCACGCTCACCTTCCCTGTTTGGGCAGTATTCAATGCTGAGCCGGTCTTTTGATTGGATGTGGTACGCTGAGCAGGTAGTGCCGGTGACTGATGCTGCACTCTACTAAGCTCTATCCAGGGTGAGTTAACCAGGGAATCGCCATAACCTGCTGGTCGGAGAAGGCCAGCATGCATAGAGGCGTGGTCCGATTCGACGCCTACCTTCCCGTTCGTTGAATTCTTTATTCTAACCGCCTTCGCCAGGAATGCATCCCGAAGTCTCTGGTTGCCAAACTCCACGAGATCCGGCCTTTGGCTACGAGCTATGCTTGCCTGCTCGTTAGACCACATCACATACCTGAAAGTCCTTTTGATTAATGCGTGAGCCGGGATTCCCACCTGTTTAAGTAGGTTGGAGACACGATATCTCACATCCCTTTCTCTCAATCTGGCACTGCTGCAGAAAGGATAAACCATTCCTGTGATGTCTACATTTCGCTGCCTACCTGTTAAGATGCCAGTTTCACGGCCCAAATGTTTCTATCTAAGATGACATGCTGGCCACCTCCTTCCCGATCTCTGTTAGACTAGCGGTCCTGGCATTTGTGTCTGTTTGGAGTAGCATGAGTTCTGACCTCATGTATATCTGCAGCGCCTCCAAACTTGCCCTGACTTCCTCTGATTCGTGGTTTATTGTAGGACTGACCTTTCCTTAACTCTATGACTGTCGCATCTTCAGTTATGGTTTCATCTTCAGGTTGCTGTTGCTCTGAGATGCGGCTCTGGTTAATTAGCTGTGAGCAGTCAAACCAAACCAATTTAAGCTTAACAGTGTCTAGGTATAATCGGTAAGNTCGGTAAGCATGGATGAAAATCTTACTGCAAACTCGATGAAACCACCGGTTGCAGGTGTCGTCTTACACGTCTTACAACTTCCACTGGGAATCGAGGGTGACCCATTAGAGATATGACTAGATAGTCTCAACATCTTGCAGGAATGCAGTAAAAAAAGTT